CCTTTCTGAGCCTGCTGATATACAGGAGCTGTGTACTGTTAACTTCAGATCGGTTTAAATTCAATTTCTTAGAACTGATGTGAACATGCAGGGATAGATTGGTGTGCTTTGGCAGATTTGTCTGGAGAATTTAAAAACAACTCTGCCTCCAGCTAATTGTTCCCATGAGAGGTGTGCAACTGAGTTCAGAAACCTCCTCTCCCAGGAAGAGTGAGCCTTGCCACTCTTGAACCTCAAACTAAGTCGCTGCTAACTCCACTGAATCATTGTGTTAAACAGGCTAATTATAAGTGCTGATGAAGAGCTGCTAAAAATCATATAATCTAGCATTGTAATCTGCAGTAAAAGTTTTAATAAACCCATCTTGCTGCTAGAACTAGAGCTGTGTAAAAATCAATCCATGGCACTTCTTCTGACAAGACCCATGCAGCCCTTGGCCACCACAAAGCAGCAGTTATGTGCACACACTCTACAAGCCCTGAGATGGATCTGGGATGGAGGACAGTATCTTCAATTCTCCCAGAGTCCTGGATAGGCATAGCAAGCAGCCAGCCAGCAGATGATGCGGACTGCTGTGACGTGGGGCAAGGCAGAAGCTACCTGTGATCCCAGTCTCCCCATGTGCCTGAAACGAACCCAGCATCAGTATGTGCATGCGGCCAGCTGCATTCCGGGAGCCTGCTGGCAGCAGAGTAACTGCACAGAAAACAAGTTGAGGAATTCCTGGAATTTCTGAAGAGTATTAAAATAACCTTAGAATCCAATAGCAAGCGAGTATGGGAGGTAATAGCAGAAGTGGTTGCTTATCTTTCTTTGATAATTGTTTAAGTGCAAATTTTGTAAGAAAGCATGTGAATGTTGAGACTGATTATTCCGGCTTTTCTCTGCCTTCCAGATTCAAGAGCAAGGATGTGAGGACTTCAGAATGCCTCCAGAACATGCCCCTGTAAGTAAGCTCCTGTATTGTAACAACAAGATATTTTTTCCTCCTGTTCATAATAATTTTCCCAGTTCTCAGAAATATTTGGATCTGTGCAAGGAATGTGTCTCCTCTTGCTGTTCTACAGACATTTCTATCAGCAGCAAGATCTCCCTACATGGCAGCACACACTTCACTTCAAAGATCTTCCCAACCCGTTAGGCAGTAATTAGAGTTTAAGTGTTGGAGCCAATCTGCCTGACAGGGAAGCTTCTCTGAAAACAAAGATTTTGTGAAAGTTGCAAGAGATAATGGTGGACAAGCAATGGCTAGTGGCTTCTTGAAATTTCTCCCGCTGACTCCTCTTTCATTAAGCCTGGCTATAGAACACAGTCCGTTGTGCCTAACAAGAAAGTCAAAAGCACCTCTTTTCTCTTTTAAAATTGAAGTTCCAAGCTCCTCCCCTCTACCAGCTGGAAGCTTTCATGAGTCTGGAAATTAGACTGAGAAGAAATGCTGTTGGGGTTCTACGGTTAACGTGTCACAGTCACTTACCAAGATCTCCTTAGTTAGAATATATGATACTGTGAAATGTGTTACATCATGCACTTAGACACTATGGGATCTTTGCAATGGATCTTACTCATCCCATATGAAAGAGGAAACACATTCATCTCTGACTCTTGTAGAGGTCCCACATCAGTAAAATCTTACTTCCTCTTTTCTGCCATACGCAGCTCTAAAGACTGCAGCAAGCACTTGAACACCAAAGCTTTTAGCAGCATTCCCTGAGCTATTGCTATCTTTTACATCAGTCCACTCCTAAATTTAGCAATTCCCAGACCTAATGGCCATCCAACTTTGCTATTGCTGGTTTAGAATAGGACTCTGGCACAGTATTCTCATTCTGAAAATAGCTTCTAATTCTTTACTTGGGGCAGAAGCACTGTCTTGTTCTACCAATGCAACCCAACGATTCCATGACACAATTAGCCATTTCCATGTAGAGTCACGCACACTGATTAATGAAGCTCCCCAGTCCTTGTTAGATCAATAACACTATGAGAGTGCCTGACCCAGATATTATGATACACGGAATTTAAAGAAATCTCAAATTTGAATCATGTTCAAATCTGCAGTTGGAAAAACTGTCATTTGAGGTACAAACACTTTAAGGCAGAGGCCCACAGGTTGCATACTGCAGGGTCTGAGTTCGCAAAGGTGCTTGGACAGCTGGCTGCTGGCGCGCTCCACAGATGCAGGTAAAGCACGATTTATAGGTATGGTCAGAAGATGAACAATGAGTTTGGACTGTGTATATGCTTGGATACTATTTTGCATGTATGAGCTGCCCCATATACACCTGACAGTGGAGGCTCTCCCAGGTTGTTGTAGTTGATTCTTTTTCATTTAAGTCCTATAAACGCTACCTCAAACTGCAAACCCTACAGCTGGTCATTCACCAAGTTAATTCAGATGTCATGCTATTCATGCTTACAGCCTAAGCTCAGAGTCACACAACCATGAAATCTTAGGTCCAGACTGTACACCGGACTTCACTAGATAACACAGCAGGACACACAGCTGCACTGTGGATATACTAATCCATCCCGTGGAACGGGTCTACATGACAAAGGTGGCAGTAGCTGGACCTGAGGCATGTATCACAACGATCCTGCACAGAACCATGGAGTGGGAGCCTCGATCCCAATCTCCTGCTAAAACTTTTTTAACACGTAAGCAGGCTCCTGTGTTCATTTGTATTTTCTAGACAAGAATGGTCAGAGGGAATTCTTCCCACCTTCCTCGCTCACTGGGAAAGAGCTAAAAGTATACTGTTCAAACCAACAGCAGGAAACAGTAACAGCAGAGCAACACAGATCTGCAGAAATCTCCTACAAGCCCACTAACATCTGTGTTCCTTTAAGTCTTATCAACTCACTATAAATGCTGAAATAGAGGCTGAAGTCTCAACTAGAGCTGATATACATACAAGGAACTGTTCAGTCTAAAATTCTGTTCTGGTAAAGCAGTAAAGCCCTTTGTACTCTAAACACTCATGAAGACTGGAGCTGGTAGCAGTGCATTAATGCAATTAACAAACAAGGTAGGTACTTTCTGGAGAAAAATATCTGTGAAGTGGTTTTTAGACTAACGTTTGATAGCTCTTCCCTACTTCAGCTGTTCACATATGCATCCTGTTATGCATCTCTTTAAGGGATGAGGCCAATATGAACAAGATATGGTGAGGGTGGGATGTTAAAGATTTAATTTGTAATTAAGGGTGATGTTCTTAAAAAAAAACTCCCTTAACAACATTATAGGAGAAAGGGGAAAGGTCAAGCTGCCTGTTAGTGGGGTAATGTGACAAAATAGGAATAAGCAGGAGAGAACGCAAGTACATTTTTGTTAGTATTATTAGAAAATGAAACTCACACCCCCACTGTAATTTCAGGCCAGAAGCAGGCTGCAGTCTGCTCATTTCACTGACAGAAAGACCTCTTCTGAATTGAAAATTCAGCAAAAACCAAGATGGGAAAATAGTGGGCACAAATAAAATCCTTTGAGTGGATGTCACTTTCCAAGAGAAAAGTGGACATAATTTTAAGACAAACTCAGTCATGGCAAACAAAGTCCATGTATGGTGCTTACTGGAAACATTCTCTTTTGTTCTTTACTTTAAATACCTGACTTTGCTTGCTATAGACCTCATTCTACCAAGCTTGCACTACGTTTGAATCATACTTCCCTATACACACAACTTAAAAGTTACATCTCTACTTTCCCAATTGTAAAAATGTGATTCCTTGAAGCTGTGTTCTCTGAAAACAGCGAGAACTGACAATACAGAAATGTTTGGGCTTTGATTTTTAAACGTCTTTGGAACATTTGACTGTGGAAAAATCTGAGCTGAGTTAGTTTGGCAACCTGACCTCCTGCATATCAAAAAAGTTAAACTAAAATGGAGTGTTTGTATTTGTTGAAGAACATGTGAATCATGTTTGTTTTTAATTATTAATTGTGGAAGAAAGAATCCAGTGCTTTTTTATTTTTCCCTCTGGTTTACCAAATTCAGCTGAAAATGAAAACAGGAAAAACTGGTAACACCAGCCAAAGAATCGATAACTTAGAGGTTCTTAAACATCTCTCATCTCATTTGGAAAGGGACTGTTTCATCGCTGAATGTGTGAGAAGGATGACATTTAAAGAGAATAATGAGGGATAAACCTATGAAGTAATGTTTATGAACTAGAGAAAAATTAGCAACTACTGTTCTGGTAAAAAAAAAAAAAAAAATGATGTTTTGTTTTTAAGGCTATTTGCACTGTTATTCAAACACTGCTCAGACAGCACGCCAAATTTATACAATGATCTGCAAACCCTCCCTGCCAGGGCGAACCATCAATTGCAACAATGTTCATTTTGTCTCAGGGCAGAATCCAACAGATGAAGAGAAATCTGCAAAGGGCTACCAAGTGTTTGGTCACACAGAGGCACAGCCCAGGAGAAAGGAAAGGTCAAGTGGGAAGCTCCTCAGGCCTGAAGCTTCCCCAAACAAAACTTGTATTAAAAAGCAACACATCCTTTGTGGGACTGGAAAAAAAGGCTCTGTTTTTTACCCTTTCTGCTTTTGTTGGGTGCCCTTGACAACAGTATTCCTGCCTCCTATTGTCTGTCCCATGTGTAAAAATAAAACAGTTCCTCACCTCACAAAGACGCTGTCAGATTTACGGTTGTATGCTGACAAACACACGCTAATGCTCATGATACGCAGCAGTTAAATTTCTGGGAACTCAGTGATGAGGTCAGGTATTATTTAAATCAGTCACAGTCAAATCAGAAAACAGAAGCTACATGGTGAGCTTGTGTGCAACATTTATGCTCACTGAGAATCATCTCCTAAAACAGAGCAGTTTCTCAATTTACATTGAATAAGCTTGTTTTAGAGGTAGTTTTTCCTCCTTACAGAGGGTTTGCAAAGGACTTTACAGAAGGCGCGCTCCTCCCACGCAGCTTCCTGAGGTAAGCACTCACACCTCAGCTGTGGGACTGACTGAAGCACTTCAGTGAAAAGGAACTTTTCGGCCTCTTAAAACCTGAGAAGAGTTTAGAGCAGGGCACCCTCCTTTGGACGATGCAAATAAATCACCAGCAGTTGTGTTAAAGGTGGGTGGAGAAGCTAAAACCCGTCCTGCCCTGAAGGTTTTCCAGCAAAAGCGAGGAATAACGCTTGCTCTGTGCCCTACGAACTAACCAGCCAACAGCGAGCATTACACAGTGCCTCATGGTTTCGCAGCAGCAGCAGGCTAAACTTTTCACCGTGACTCCCAATGGAACCCGTGAGACAGAAGGAACTTTTTAGCACTTAGAATACCTTTGCCAGACACCTCGTAGCGAGCACGCGGAAAGGAAAAGGAACCGAACCCCGCATCCCTCAGCCCTCGGCACGCGGTGTTTATAAGCGGCGGGAGGCGCCGGGCGGGAGCTGCGGGGCTCGGCGCGGGGGGAGGAGGAGGAGCCCATTGGCTCTCGGGCCGTGGGATCCCATATCCTGCGAGTGAATGAGGCAGCCCGAGAGCGGGCCGGGCGATTCCTCTTCCCCAAGGAAGGAAAGAAGAGAAGGCAGCTGCACTTTTGGTGGTGAGACAACGAAATCCGGGTGGGGCTCCTTTCCCTCCTCATTTCTGGGCTTATTGGTTGGTTCGGTTTGGTTGTTTTTGGTTTGTTTTTTTTTCGTTTCGCCTATTTGTAAGGTGACGAGTCGGGTAATTAAAATTCGCGACGAGGTGCTGTTTTCCTATCGCTTTTCTCGTTTTCTGTCTTCTGCGGGGGGCTGCGGGAGCCGGGCTGCTCGAGGGGGCTGTCTCGCTTCTCTGCAGCTCTGGAACGGCGGTTCCATACTCCAGGCAAACAAGTTTTCCAGCTGCTTTGTTTAAAAGATCTTGGCCGTGCCCCGTTGCCTTGCTTACCCCTTAAAGAAGGGCTGTGTCTACATCGTGCTGAAATCTCACATTTCAGCGAATTTCTAATACCTTTTTCGTGTAGCGTTGTAGCATTTTCCCCCTCAATCTCCGATCACTGCGTGGCTGTCGGCTGTATATTAAAACAAAGCAGAAAACTCGGAAGGCGGCAGCGGTCCTCGCAGGGCTTTCTTCTCCCCCTGAGCCGCAGGGGGACGCCCGCAGGCTCCGAGCGGTGCGACAGCGCGGCCCATTCAAAGTGGAGCAGCTCCCTCTCGTCCTAGGAGCCCCTCTCGCTTTCTGTTTTTTTTTCCTCCAATTCATTATTGCTTCTGGAAAAGTTGTTTTGCTTTGGTTTTTTTTCCCCCTTTTTCCATAGATTTTCTTTTTTTTCCCTTTTTCCCTCCCAACCGCTCCCACCCAAGAAACTCGTAGATCCGGCTGGGAGTTCCTCCGCTCTGCTCCGCGTTGCAACACGGGGCCGCGGGCGCTGGGACAGCCCTGCCCGCCCGGCCTCGGCAGCGCCCTAAGTGTGTGCCAGAGCTACGCGGCCGCAGCATTCCTCATGATTCTGGGGGGGGATCTGCAGAGGAAATCTTGAGAAAATCAGAAGAAGCCTCGAGAAGATGCTTTAAGCGTAAGCGAGAGATGGTGAACGCGTTCAGAAAGTGCATTTCACTCTGCCAGCCTGTGAAGCTCAAAAAGCCTCTTCTGGCTGCGCTCCTGGCCGGGCGGCGGACTCGGGCGGAGGCAGGGCTCCTTTGTTCGCCGGCCGCGTGGCTGGGAGCGGCTCCGCTGTCCCCGGAGCTCCGAGCACTGCGGGGGCTCCGGGCGGGGATGGGTGCTCGGGCTGGAGCGGGGAGGCGGCCGGGGAGGCGGGCTGGACGAAACGGGTGGGTCACGGCGGCTCGCCCTCACTGCGGGAGTCATAGGAGACATCGGGACGTATTGGGAAAAATCTGCTTTGTTAGTTTCTTCTGAGAATGCGGAGTCTCTCTAGAGACAGGAGACTGGCTCGAGTCCAACGCGATCAACCACAAGCATAGCAATGATAGAAGCTTAGATCCTATTTTGGCCGCGGGAAGCTGTGAGAAGTTGGAATGTGTTGCTGTTCTGTGCTGGAGCATCCTCCTAGTGTCTGCTGAGATGTATGCTGAGGGTCTCTTAGCAGTAGTGGGAGCAGCAGTTGGAAAGGGAGAAGGTTAGAAAACATAAATGAACTGGGAGGTGGAAAAGAGAAAATGATTGTCTTTAAGGCAGTACAAATGCTAGCTTTCTTCTTTGTTGAACAGAGCAGGAGACATTAAATTGCAGTTGGTAACAGCTATGGAATACTCCAACAGCGTATCCAGAAGGTGGATCACAGAGCAGGTGGTGCTCTGGGGGTTACACGTTGGTTGTTCTGCACAGAACTAGACTCTTGGAAGCTCACTGTCTGATGTACAAAGAACACAGTCTCAATGCAAATGCCAGCTCTTTCACTGGTGAGGTTTTGTGCTTCTTTTTTTCTGCTGTGAAACTTGACAGCAGTATCTGCTCACTATTCTCTTCCATTAAGTGAATCACAACTGTCGCTGCTTTCTTTGGGATCATAAATTGAGAAACAAAGCAGGAGCTGGGACAGTCCCTGACATCTGGCCAAACTGGAGTAGCAAGTACTGAGACTAGAGATGGTAGTTCACCTACAGACTGGGGAGCAGCATGTGGGAAATCCTGCAAGTCATCACTTATCTGAAATGCTGGTGGCTTATGTATTCTCTGATTCGGTGCTTACACCTTCACATACAGTGTTGTAGAGTCTAGGATATACTAAGCATTGCCTTGTCTCCCCGGGTTGTCAGTCTATGCGTGAAGAATTGTTCGGGTAATCCTTTAATTTGAAGATGTTACTGGGTGGACACAAGTTCTGAGGGGCTTTTATTGGGAAAGCTGGTTCTGTTGCTGCTGCAGTTGGTCTGTTGGGCCTTGGAAGTGGCAGTGATGGATCAGTGCTGCACTAAGTTGTTCTTCCATATGGCTTGCAGAGTACATTAAGGTACCTTCCTAAAATACTGAGTGTCTGGAGTGAGGCTCTCTGGTTATTCAGCAGACTGCGGTAGTAGTTTACCTTTAAAATCTGCTGTCAAGCAGTGTGATCCATTTCTGTCAGGCTGGCCAGAGGTAACAGGGTTTACCACTAGTACAGGAAACATTGTGTATGTGGAATCTCATCAACGTTCAGGAAAGCCTGGTTCAGATCTGGATAGAAGGTTTGCTTAAGTAGCCCCAGTCTGTGCATTCTCAAGCCTTCATGTCTAAAATAATACTCATGGGCACTTGGGAGACTTCTCTTCTTTCATAAGTTTCACAAATAGTAATCTCTTCATCTCTTGATGGTGAAGTGGGTATGCTATAGAAGGATCTTTGAAAGGTTACTCTTGACCTAAATTGCACAGTCAACGGGGAAATGATCACAACACACAGAAAAAGGATAAAGCAACCTTTCCGCTTTCAAACTGCGTCTTTTTAGAATGAACCTGTACCAGTCCTGAAGTTTAACTGCTGATTGAGTGGTTGTGTAGTATGACCCTCAACATAAATAAAGTTGTGGAGATGCTGCTGCTAGGTACCCTGGCTGCTTAAGCAGACAGAGGACAGATGGCCTTGAAAGAAAAGAAAGTTGTAAGGGAAAGCAACAAAGTTTGAAGGACTGTTGAAGAAACTGGTCTACATTTTGCTAATGCAGACTGTCGGAGTTTTTAGTTTACAGTGCAGAACAAGTTTTGCTTGCTTTGAATCAACTTTGTGAGTTTGAGCTTGACTATCTGGTATCATCTACATAGTGCCAGATGTAGTTTTAAACTTGAACAAAAACTGTTAGGTCACTTAAAACTACCAGGAGTGCTGCCATGCCCTTGAGGTGCACTCTCCCCTTTCAGGTGCAGTAAGTCAGTTTCCCAAACAACTTTTGTCAATACAGATTGCTTTTATTGTTGGGAGGTGTTTTGGGGCATAGCAGCTGAGGAAGGTATTTTAGCTAGTTATCTCTGTTAGAGAATAGTTTAAATACAACTTTAATTGCCCCAGATCACTACTGTGGTCAGTCTCTGCTCATTTTTACTGTTGTATCCTTCAACTTTAAAGTTCTTCCATTTGCTTTTCTGGTGAGATCAGAAGTGGTTTGCGCTGAATGAAGTCAGCCTTTTGTCTCAGAGTAGGAAATTTATGGCTTCTCTTGTCTTGCTTTTCTTTCTTTCTTTCTTTCTTTCTTTCTTTTTTAACTGTTACTCATGTATTTGGGGTTCCCCTTGCTGTGGTTAGTTCTTTTGTGACCTACTAATGAATGGATGGATTTTTCCTATACTTGAATTGGTTAACTAAAGAAACTCTAGACTTTCACTTTGCACTTGCCACTTAAGCTGGGATATGTAACACTGCATGTCTTACTGCTAAGATGAGACAAAGTGTTTTTGCAACTCCCTTGCAACTTTCTTGACTTTCCAATAAAATATTTGTTCTTGACTCTTCTAATAGAAAACCTTTACAGCGTGTTAGGCACGGGGTACCAAAAGTGTCAAAGTTGTGACTAAGCTTTTCTGAGTGTGTCAGCTTTGCCTGTCTCTGAGCCTTGAGCTTGCTGTGGTAACTGCAGGTACAGACTTTCTATTGCACTGTTCTCAAAGCTCAACTTCTTAGAGCAATCAGACTTCTTCAGTGGATGACCGTTTTTTTTTTTTTGCTTTGTTTTTTTTCCTTTTCATTAAATTCCCCCCTGTCTTGTGTGCTTCTGCTCGTGTTTTCTGTTCCCATGTTGTGGTCTGTTTCTGAGACTTTCATTTCAGTTTCCACTTCTCTTTGTTTAGAGACACTGCTTTCACTTGGCAATTCTTAACCTGGTGCTGCGTGTATTCCAGTATTTTGTGTAGTTCAGTTACCTTCTTGTTCTTATGTTAGTCTTACATGACGCATATAACTAATTATTTTCCCTGTCTCTAGATGTTATTAAATGGCATGACCTACTATACATCCTGATCAGAGATGAATGCTGCTGGTCAAATGTGAATGGGGAACTTACCTACATCACGTAACTTAGAAAGACTGTAGCCTTGGGGAAGTCTCACTGCTTATCAAACTGTTGTTTTCTGTTGTTTGTTTGTTTGCTTTTAAAGCAGTGAGCTTATGACGTTCTTGCTCCATATACAGTCTTTGGCCTTATTGCATTACAGAAAGCACTGCCTGTAAGATTGAAATTCTCTTTGGTTACCATAAAAGTGGCAGAGGATAATGGCATTCATCCCACCCATCTTTCAGGCAGGCTTAAACAAAGCTTTGCACCACTATTATTCCAGCCAGTCTGCAGCTCCTTTGTATTGAGATGGTTCTCTACCTGTTCTATCATTAAATCTGAAATGTTTGTTCCTCTCTGGCCTGCTTGAAGCAAGCATGGAGACTCCCAACATGTATATAGGAGTCTTCTGCACTGGATCTGTTTGTTTGATGTGTATCATCATTGGTCTAACCAGAAGAAAAAATAAAACAAACCCAATATTTTTGTCTGACTCTAACCTATGAATTTGATGTCTCACTTGTTTTAATGCTCCTGCCTTGGTGCCTGAATGTTAACATGAGTATTCTTTGCGTTTTGACCCTGAAAATGAAGATGCATTCGGAGTGTGAAGCTGAATTGGAGCACAGAGTAGG